TTCAGGCCAGAAGCTTCTCCATGACCACCAACTCGGTCAGTACAAGCACCGCTAAGTCGAAAGTCATCCACACCAATGTAAGGCTAGTTTCGGATTGGGCTCTCCCATAGCTGCGCATTGTGAAACGATGCTGGGTCCATAATTAACTGCTCGGCATTGACGTATCTTCAGTGCTGCACGATATTGGATTCAGTTCGATGAGACGAATGCGCCGTGATGCAATCTTACCGCAGAGGCCATCACAAATACGACGATCTACGAAATCTAAGGTTATCTCGAAGTTCCGGATTGCACATCACAGATGCCTCGGGCCAGAGTCACTGTGTCTACCTGGGAGAGCCAGGAGAACCACAGAATGCGGGCACTTACATCAGGAAAACCCTCTCCCGCTAATTAGATATAAAAGAGCATAATTGTCAAAAATTATACAGATTATCTCATTATACCCGATTATCACTAAAACGCTAGCCCCTTTGTAATTATGCGTGGTTATCCAACATTTATATCTAATAACATAGCCTTAGACAAGGCACTCTCTTATTTTTATCTCCTTTTATTGACACTGTATAGCATAGATGGGAGCAAAATCCATATCATTGCAGCAAGGGTATTGTGTATACATAGTTGCAGTCTGTATAGAGCAGCCGAAACTGTGATAATCTATCTACACCCAAAATCTAATCCCAGCATGTACGCGAAAGGATCACAATACCTCCAGTGTCTGTAGCAGGAAAGCAAGGGTTAGGGTACTGGATACACACAAGGTAACAACACGATACACACCTTCGACCACAACTTTCAAGTTTCCTCCCAAGGCTAGCCCACACCCAACCCAGCTGCCAAGGCCCAGCGAGCAAGGATACCAACTAACCCACCAGCAGAGAAGCTACTATGGTATCTCAGTAAGGACAACTGCCGAGACAACATCGGCAAACTCACATCTGACCACCTTCATCTGTTACGGCAATCACGGTAGGTCAGTCTTCAGCCTAGTCATATAAATGAGTCAGCAGATATCCTAGTACTCAAAATCGACAAATACTTACCACTGATGCATTCGACTTGAAGTCGACAAGCGGCAATGAGATGGGTGGCGGGGCCTCGGTCTTGGATTCCACAGGAAATGACAATTATATGCACACTGAAAATGTGCCATATAAATCAATGTCGGCGAAAGCCAGCGCCAGCGAACAGTTACAAGTGAGTTACCGTGGCTCAGGTTACGAAGGCAGCGCCATAGTCGTGCGGCGCTGAAAGGCGAGACCCCCGAGAAGAGCACAGCTGTTTGGGCACACAAGAAGAACTGGATGGAGACGGTGAGAGAGAGGGAAGAACGAAAGAGGGAAGTCGCGACTCGCGAGGACTGTTGAAGTAGATTCGGTCGGAGCTTGAAAACACGGTATCAACAAACTCACGTGACCGCGTCGGCGCGTTCAAACCCGAAGTAACGGAAGTTCGAAGCCTCTCGCCGCAAGCTGGATCTCAGGCTATTGTGTGCTGGGCGCCCTCTCGTCTGTGCTCTCTCCCCTATGCACGGTGCATTTCCTGGCTACGCTAGGACAATCGGCAATATCTGGATAGCTTCGACATCGAATAGTCGTGTTCCTGTGCAAGGCCAGGCTTCCGCTGCAAAGTAACGGCACCACAATGAGAACACACGCGCAGCCACATCTCCGGCTCTATCATCCACGGCGACGAGCATGACATCTTTCAAATGCCCACATCAGGCTCCCGCCATATCCATATACCTGCATGCTTGTCGTACAACTCTTCAACATGCTTGTGTCGCGTTGGCTGGTCACATGAGCAGCCTGTCTTCAAGTGCAACGACGCCAACTTCATCGTCGCTCATTCGCCTGTATTGACCGAAAGCTTAGTCTGACGACAGACAGGATGTAGATACATCAGAGAAGGGATATGCATCTGGTTCGAGATGTTTGATACGGGTAAGACTCGTTTACCTTTTCCACACTCACTCAATTCCACTGACCAAGGCTTTCTGCGCACTACGAGCGAGTGTTGGGGTGCAGCCAAACTCCAGCCTTGGCTGGTGGAGGCGATGTAATGGCTGGCGTTGCGAGTACCCCACAGCTGACATCTTCTAGTACGTGAGTGATGGTCACAAACAGTGCCAATCTGGGTCCATGAATGTATAACGGTATAATGGGATGCATGATG